CTTTCTCATTTTTCAAGCAAATGTATTTTTAACATCAATTTACTTTTAGTGTGAAAACAACAGTTACCATGATAACATGTAAATTGAAAGCATAAAGACAGTTAGATAACAGGTTAATTACAGTAATTTAGAGAAGATGTTAATTAATTAAATTTCTGGTCTGTTAATTACTCAATAAATCATACTTTAAGAAAAGTAAAAATTGAAAACTCCATTTACCTCTTAGTATGTATAAGGGAAAACAAAATACATCCTTTTAGAAGGAATGACTTAGCATATAGTTTGAAAAAGTACAGTGGATCTGGACTTTGTTTATCAAATACATCTAAGTGCTTACTTCATACTGAAATTTGGCTCAATATTGGTAAGACACATTACCTGATTTAGTGATTGGTACTTACTAACTATTGAAAGGACCACAACAATAAAATCAAATAAGTTCCAGCCGCTTTTGAAATAATGTTGTCTTAAGGCCAGCATTTTTATGACACATTCCGCTGTAAATACAGCTACAAAAAAATAGTTGATTTTATTAAGAACTTCCTTGGTGCCTTCCTGGTCTGCCATCATAACAACCATATTTAGGCAGATGAAAATGACAATGATGATGTCAAATGCTTTGTGCATTACGATATCAAACAGCAATCCCAGGAACGCATTCTGTGGAGAGAACAAGAAATGCTTGATGCTACTTCTAGGAGTCAGCCTGCATTCAAATATTAATCAGTAATTTGTGTTTAGAAAAAGAATTTAAAGTAATATAAATTTAAGAATTAGCTACTAAAAGCATTTTTAGGGGATTTCTTTAGATCTTCAATGAAAACTCACAGTACTTGGCTAAGTATATTCAGGCATCAAGCAAGAACATTGGCATATATATACATATTTATATATATATATATATGTATTTATATACATCAGGAAAACATGCAGAGTACATTGTACATTGTTTTGCTCTTTCAATAGAAATCCTTACTGAAGCAGATATTTTACTATAATTAATTCTAATTAAAATGTCATAAGCGAGAAAAACTCTGAATTGTTACTATGAAAAGCCAGACCTGGAAATAAATTTAAGAAACTAAAATAAATAAAGCATAAGATTATCTAAAAGCAAATAACTGCCATGGGGGTATATACTATTCCCTATTCATTCTCACCTGCAATAATCCAATCTAGTGGCAGAAGCAACATCATGCAACTTAAGTAACAAAGGTCATGGTAGGAATATCAAACACTTAATATGAACCTTTATAAACAGGTTATACATTTGATAGGTCATAAATTGGATATAAATTTCCCTAACTAATGACCACAAACAAAGGCTCTTTTAGATGGAATTAAGCAAAAGAGTAAAATGTAAATACTACACTGAATAAAGAAGATGAGGCGCTCTAAGGCAAAGTTTATTTCCCTGTGCCTGGGCTACTGAGTTCAAATATGGTCACCATCGTTGTATCTCCTGCCATGTTCTATTTAAGATGGTCTCACCGGTGGTCTTGGGATGGGTTTTTGAGGTTTCTTGGATCCAAGTTTTTTTAGGGCATTATAGTACTTTTTCTGTTCCTCAGTCAAAAATAGATCTTTTCCACCTAAGTAAAGGGAAAGAATATTGTTGTTTTGCTGAAGTTTATGCAGTTCCCTAAATACCAGCAACTTTCTGTAAAAAAGATTATGTTACAGCTGTCCTCAGTGGGACCTAAGACAGCACAGAGACAAAATGTGTCTTCACTATTTCTCCTTTTCCCCTTGATCTTTGAAATGATGTACTGAAAAGAGTTGATCTGGGTCTGATCATGGAAGTCTAGTCTAGGCAGTGTTCCCAAGTCAGTTCCCTCAAGTGTGAGAGCCTTTCTGAAGTTTTACAAATCTATTTCATACTTTAAAAATTACATATGATTCATCAAGAAGGGAAATACTTTCTATTTTTGGGGAAGGTAGAAACAGAAGAGTATTGCTGGACTAACAGGTAAATAGAGGATGATGGGATCCAGTTCTACAGGGGGTTCCTGACAACAAATTTCTTATTCCCATCTACACCCCCTGTATTACTTATCCCCATCTACACCCTCTGTAGTACTTAGCAATCCCTTTGAACCCAGGATTCAGAAGTCACTCATCAATCATAAAAGTGGCAAGGAAAACCTCCTTTCTTTATTGGACATGGTGGGGGGAACATAATTTTCAAAGATGAGGAAAAGGCTGAAGTATTTAACATCTTCTTTACCTCAGTTTTCAACAGTAAGACAGGTTGTCCCGAGGACAGCTGGCTTTTGGAGCTTGTAGACAGAGATAAGAAGCTGAATAGCTCCCTGTAATCCAGGAGGAAACAGTTTGCGACCTGCTGAGCCACTTGGATCCTCACAAGTCTGTGGAGTCAGATGGGATCCATTCTAGGGGGATGAGGGAGCTGGCAGAAGAGCTCGCCAACCTGCTCTCCATCATTTACCAACAGTCCTGGCTCACTGGGGAGGTCCCAGATGATTGGAAGTTGGTGAATATCACACCCATCCACAGAAAGGGCTGGAAGGAGAACCTGGGAAACTCCAGGCCTGTCAGCCTGACCTCAGTGCCTGGCAAGGTTATGGAGCAGATCATCCTAAGTGCAATCACACAGCACCTACAGGATGGACAAGGGATCAGACCCAGCCAGTAAGGGTTTAGGAAGGGTAGGTCCTGTCTGACCAACCTGATCTCCTTTTATGATCAGGTGACCTGCCTAGTGGATGAGGGGAAGGCTTTGGATGCGTCTGTCTGGACTTCAGCAAAGCCTTTGACACCATCTCCCATAACACTCTCCTGAAAAAGCTGCAGCCCATGGCCTGGACGGGGGCAGCCTGTGCTGGGTCAAGAACTGGTTGGAGGGCCGGGCCCAGAGAGTGCTGGTGAACGGGGCTGCATCCAGTTGGTGGCCGGTCACTAGTGGTGTCCCCAGGGATCAGTGTTGGGCCCAGTTCTGTTTAATATCTTTATGGGTGGTTTAGATGAGGGGATTGAGTCCACCACCAGCAAATTTGCAGATGACACTAAGCTGAGAGCAAGTATCAATCAGCTGGAAGGTAGAAGGGCTCTGCAGAGGGACCTGGCTAAGCTGGATCCATGGGCTGATTCCAACAGGATGAGGTTCAACAAGGCCAAGGGCCGGGTCCTGCACTTTGGTCACAACAAACCCCTCCAGTGCTACAGGCTGGGGACAGAGTGGCTGGAGAGTAGTCAGGCAGAAAAGCACCTGGGAGTTTGGATTGATTAGAAGCTGAACAGGAGCCAGAGTGTGCCCAGGTGGCCAAGAGGGTCAATGGTATCCTGGCCTGTATCACGAACAGTGTGGTCAACAGGTCCAGGGAAGTGATTCTTCCCCTGTACTCAGCACTGGTGAGGCCACACCTCGAGTGCTGTGTCCAGCTCTGGGCCCCTCAGTTCAGGAAGGACATTGAGGGGCTGGAGCAGGTCCAGAGAAGAGCAACAAGGCTGGTGAAGGGACTGGAGCACAGGTGCTGTGAGGAGAGGCTGAGGAAGCTGGGGCTATTCAACCTGGAGAAGAGGAGGCTCAGGGGAGACCTCCTCACACTCTACAACTCCCTGACAGGAGGGAAGAGCCAGGTGGGGGTTAGTCTCTTCTCCCAGGTAACTGTCAGCAAGACAAGAGGGCATGGTCTTAAGCTGTGCCAGGGGAGGTTTAGGTTGGATACTAGGAAGAAATTCTTTACAGAGAGGGTGATCAGACATTGGAATGGGCTGCCCAGGGAAGTGGTGGATTCCCAGTCATGGTGGTTTTTAAGATGAGACTGGATGTGGCATCAGTGCCATGGTCAGGTAACCACAGAGGTGTAGGATCAAGGGTTGGACTTGATGATCTCAGAGGTCTTTTCCAACCCATCTGATTCTATGATTCTACGATTCTACTCTATGATACAGGTAAATTGCTAAAAGCAATTGAGGAAAAGAGGACTCCTGTTTCCAAAACTTGGTTTAAAATGTTATTAGTTTAAATTTATCCAGGTAAACAGTTATTTCAAAATGTAAGACATCTACATGTCAAACCAGCATTCATTTAAATTGGGATTAGAGGAGATCCTGAGTTAGCTCAAGTAGTACTTATCTTTTTCCTTTGTTGGTTAAAATTGTTGATAACCACTCCAATAAAAAGGTTCAGCATGAAGAAAGATCCAAAAATAATGAAAACCACAAAGTATATGTACATATAAAAGTTTGCTTCAAACTTTGGCTGTTCATTGATCTGTTAAAAAAAAGTCAAACCAAAAAAATAATATTGGTAAAAAGGAGATAAACACAACTTTACCATTTCCAATTTATAATAAAAGATCTTTTCATTGTCATGATGGATAAATTATTTCCACACATTTAAATCTTTACCTGGATGTACAAGTAGAACCACTCTCTTGTTTTATCTTGCTACTGATTGTAAAGATAGTGACAAACAGAGCTATAGAGACAAATCCAGCTTCAGCAAATTTTTAAGTAATAAAGAACCAATTCCAATCAGAAGGGATCCTGTTAATGCCCTGATTAAAAACAACAGCTCAGACTAAACTTAATGTCCTGGTAAGAGAGTGAGGAACAGCACATGCAAAGGGGGAAGAAATAGTGAGGATGTCAAATCTAGGGAAGAAAAACTCCTGAAATAACTGCTCTAGCTGCATGCTCTTTCAATGCTCCTGTACACATTTAAAAAGGAAGAAAATTTGCACAGTCCTTCCAAGAGCTTCTGTATTCTGTTTCCAAAAGAGACTTGCACAAAGCTTGCAACTTCTTCCCCTCTGCATTCCTGACACAGCAGGCTTCTGTGTGGTGTCACTCTACTTTGGCCAGTTTCTTTTGTCTAAGTTCCAGATATTTGGTACTCCAAGGATTATTGTTTCATTGTGTAGTTTGATGCCTTCAACCACTTGTATTTTTGATTTGATATTGCAAACAAAGCTGAAAAAGTAATTACATGGATGGAAAAGGGAAGAAGAAAAGGGAAAAGAACTAAATTGTCATTTTAGTGACATACCTCACGGGAATCCACTGCTGCATACATAATACCCATCCAGCCTTTAAAAGTTGCCTGAAAAAAATGCATTATTAAGTTTGTTATAGCTAAGAAAAAAATTAGGTATTGCTAATAGAAATGTGTTGATAGTTGTGGAAAATGAGCACTATGCTATAAAAAATATGTATCACTTCTAAAGATCTGCTGGGAAGTATGATTCACTGGAGTTTAGTGAAGAGAAAAAAAATACTTATTGAAAACTAAACAAAAACAAACAAACAAACAAAAATATTTCCTGAAAACAAAAAAAAATCATGATGCATGTGAAAAGTGTCTTAATGTTAATTCTTGTTAAAATAATCTTTTTGGTAAAAAAAATAAAATGGTAAAATTTTCAGCTTAACTTGGAAATATAATGTACAAGGATAAAAACAATTTCTAAGAAAACAGCAGACAATTCCTTCCTGCAATTTTTGGCAACTCTGCAGAATCATAGAATACTTTGGAGGATCCAGGGCATAGAACTTCAGCTAAAAAAGATACAGGTATAACAAACGAATTGAAAAATGCCTTTCTCTCCTTTGTTGTCATGTTAGGGAGCTCAATAAATTAGTATCCCAATCCTTCATGACTTCTACAGGAAAAGAAAAGATAAATAAACTGTACCCTGATTTTCTTTCTCATCTACCCTGAACTGGAGAAAATAAGAATATTTTTAATTCAGTAACCTGCAAACTATTTCAGGTTTAGAGTGTTAATCAAAATTAAAACAAAATTGAAAAGCCATGAAACAGAGTTCTTGATTTTATGAGTTCTTGAGCATATGCTCAAGTGTTACTTAGGAGGAACTGAGCAGGTCACCAATAAGGAAAATATATATGGAAGCTAAAATATATCCCCAATTTCACTGGGATAAACAGAAGCATAGAGGTGTCCCATGGTTGGGCTGCTCAACACATTTCCTTGAAGAAAACAAAACTGAGAATGTTTTTATAGAACTCACCACTTGGAGCAGAGCCAAATATCCCATTCCAACATTATCAAAGTTTACAGGATCATTTGTCCATTTTCCACCACAGGACTCACAATTATTTCTGGTATTAATGGCACTGATATCTCCTTCCTGGAGTATGCACTGTGAAAATCTTTTCCCAAACAAATTTACTCCTAGAATGTTAAATAGGAGCCAAACGACAACACAGACGAGCAAAACATTGAAGATTGAGGGGATAGCTCCAAGGAGTGCATTGACAACAACCTGAACAAAATGAATGAAAATAATAGTGAATTTTATGTCGTCATTTTCAAAAAAATCTTTAAATGCGGCCATTACAAAATATTCACACTGACCCCCAATATCTTTACCTTTATTCCTTCAAATCTTGACAAAGCTCGTAGAGGTCTCAATGCTTTAAGAGTCCTGAGAGATTTCAGGCCACTTCGAGAGGAACAAGGTGAAACATCTTTGGAGTCAGGATTTAGTACCCAGGAAACAAATGACAGCTGTGTTCACAGAATTGCAACTGGGATTATTAAATGGCAAACAAAATTTCCCTATTTCCCTTGTTTGTGTTAGCAAACAGTTAGTACCTGAATGTTACAAGATCTTTGACCAGTAAGTCACATTCAAACTTATTGCAATATAATTTTACTTCGTTCTTTTCTAATATATGAAAAAAATTGGGTTTCCTTCATTCTAATTAAAAATTAGTTTTTTTCCTGTTTGTTTTTTTTTTTTCAAAACCAGTCCATATAATTTTTTTGACTGCTAATATAATAACCAAGTTGATAATTATGGTACTTATATACACTGCCAGACCAGAAAGGATTTTTCAAATAAAATATTCCCATTTGCTCCATCATTATTCTCAGAAGGATATACAGTAATTCTTTATTGTCACTTAAGATAGGGATGTGGAAATAAAAATTAATTTTGAAGAATATATTCAATATTTTAAATTTTTCTAAGAGCAAAAATTAAATGAAAATATTAGAAAAACATTATAATAATTAGGGGGTTTTTTAACTGTTCATGATTTGTCTCTTCTCTCCTAGTTGAAATTCTTGTGTCGCTGTCCAGCCATTGGATCTTTTCATGCCTTTCCTCTGATTTGGACAGCACTGCTATTAAGATTAGAAAACCGTAATTGCTGAAGTTATGCTACATGTTCTTTATAAATAGCCATAAGAGAAGATATCTAATAATAGTTTCTTCAGCAACTTCTGATTACTGCTGAAAATTTCTATTTAAATTTGTCCTAAGGTCTCCTTGAATTGCAGGTTTTTCGGCTTTTGGAAACTGTCTTTCACTCTTGTAGTTATTCATAATCAGAATTTGCATGTCCAGATCCATCCAGATAGAAAATGTCAAAAATCAAAATGTATGACAAGCTGAATGTAATACTCACACATACAATGACAAAGTCAAGTAAACACCAGGAATTTGTGAAGTAACTGCGCAATCCATAAGCTACCCATTTCAGAAGCATCTCCATCAAAAAGATGTAGGTAAATACTTTGTCAGTATAATCTAGGATCATTTTCACTGTTTTTCTATTCTGTAGATGAATATCTTCAAATGCCTGGAATTTCAGAATTCAGTTTTAAAACAGGTCAGTAGTTGCATGGAAAATTATTCTTAAATTGCACAAGAATACACAGTTTGTCTTATTTCAACCATTTCATATTAAATTATGGGCAACCACCACTTAGTTTTATACTTAGAAGTAAAAAATTAAAGCCTGACTTGAACACATTAACCACTGTCTTTCAGACTCGGACCTTCCAAAGGAATCATCTTTAGTCAGCCTGCAGAGTTGTAATACACACATTGAAAAGAATGACAAACTCCTTATCTGGAACTGTTCATTCCTGGAGTTACAGGTTTTTTCACCTAAACCTTGACCTTGAGGTTTAAGGAAAATGCTTTATTGATTGCTGCTGTTCACATCAGTGTTCGCTTGTGTTTCATGCATTCTCTGCCTTGCTAAGTAATTTTAAGTTTTTGATATTGCCAATCTATTCCCAATTCCTTTTACATCTTGCATTATTTCCTCACCAGGCCTCTGGAAGTGTATTTATTCCTCCTTTCAAGTACTCCTCTCCTACCTTATAGCCCCATCTCCACTTCATTTAGGTATTACAGCAGACCTGATTTGCTCCCCTGCATGTAAGATATGCCTAAAAATCCAGTCTACAAAGCCATGGAAAAGGTGGAGCAGGAGCATAGACCACTGAAAAAACAAGGAACAGAGATGCTCCTATGTATAATCCAATAAAACTTATGCACTCCTTTTCTGCAGTGTTAGAAAACAGTGATTCTGCTTCTGGACCTGAAGGGGTCTTCCAATTGTGCCACAATTAGGAGAAATGCCTCCAGAGCAGAGCTGTCCCTGTGTCCATGGGACTGTTCATTTGAGTGTGGGTAAATGAGAACTTCTGGCATTCATGTACATAAACCTATTTGCCATTTCTGACCTTTTTTCTTGAGCAAGTCTGATAATGTGTCCTCTGATTCCCTGCTAAACCTTGGCTACCTTGATCTCCATCTACCAGTCAAACCACCTGCTCATTAGCAGTGATGTTTTTTCAAACTTCCAGCTCCTTTTTTCCTAACTTTTTAAAGTTTCTAGTTACTCTTAATTGCTGCTATTTATACGAACGCACACGGTGTGTGTCCCTTTTCCGGGTTAAGTGACGGTGGCCCGTCCACCGAGTGCCTTCCACCCGTGACCGCGCCATGAGTTGTTATAATCATCACGAGTTCCCACTGTGTCTTGGGTACCGCCAGTACCAGAGACATGAATCTGGAATTGCCATACTTCTCCGCAAGATCCAGACGAGCCTGGGTTGAAACCAAGTAGCCTCGATCTGCAGCAGATGCAGAGGACAACCCGAGACATGCCCCCGGCTGCTGTTATCAGGCGGTACCCGCCGGTAGAGGAGTCACGTAAGTCAGGCAGGGCTACCCCCCGGAGCGTCTGCCGACTTTTACCCAGCTAACCACCCCGTGGGTCAGGGTCCGGAGGGAGGCACACCGCTACCAGATTCAGGGACGCCCCCGATCGGCATGGTGTGCCTACCACATCCGAAGGCGGTCGTGATCTTTAAGGACCACCTGTGACCTGGTACTATCGTGCGTTCGGTCACCTCGCACGATAGGGCTTACACCGTCCGGTAGAGGGAAAAGGAAGCCGACAGCATACCCCCTCAAGTATAACTGCCGGCCTTGCCCAACTGATTACCCCGTGGGCAGGGGCTGGGCAACAGCAAGTTGTCACCAAAAAATGGGTTTCACCGGTTCTTATACTGCCACTGGTTGGTGAGGCCAGCGACAGGCAGAGGGAGACGGAAGCCAACCCTCCAATCTGGGGCAGAGGTCATCTTTGTTACCCTTACGGGCATCCGGCGGGACCGCGTGGAGGTGCGACCTCTGCAGCATGCGCCCAGTCAGTAACATAGAGCCCTCTTACTACTAAGAGAGTCATAGTTACTCCCGCCAGAAGTCAGAATCTACTTAAGTTTCTAACTACTCTTCCTTTGCTCTGAGCACTGAGCACTCACTATAGACTTTTCTGTGCATTCTTTCTGTCATCACCATCTCATTTAATTTCCTTTCAAGCCATGGACACCATGGTGTCCCTTTGTTCTAACTGGTTCAGACAATTCCCTACCAGCATACAACTTTATAAACAAAGAAAACAAACAAACAAACAAACAAATGGACAAGTCCCTTTTTGCAAGACAACATATGTGAAAGTTCTCACGGCAAAACATCTTTGATGCTGTTGATTTGTTATTTTGCACCTGGGTACCAAATAGCTTTGTGTTCAGTTTCTTCCTTAATGTGCTGTAGGATCTGACTAACTCAGTTTCCTTCCTTACTTCAGCTTGGTTCCACATGAATAGAGAGGAGCCCTCACAGGAATCCCAGGGATTTCCCTTGGTGATTTTGCCATGGGAATTCTAAAGCAGACAGTTCAAATCTATAGTTCAGTGAACAACCTGAACTTAATGTACACAGAGCAGATTTTATTTGGAAAATTCTGACATTTACCACATAGATCTCTTTCAGACCATTTGGTTATGTTCCTTTTGCACTAAAAACATTTTATTTAACAAATTATTTCCAGTTGACAGTGAATATGCTTTCAAATCATAGAAGTTCCCTTATTCTTGAGTAGAAATGGATCTGATCAGGGTAGCAACGAAATGTTACCTCACCTATCAGTTTACAGCCAACTTCACTTTGAGATTCTAATATAATGTTTGGATGATTTTGAATCTACATTTTTACTGAGCAGTTACCTTACTTTGAACATTTAGAAGTGTTATTATTTTATTTAGAAGTGCTAAGTAATTTCAGACTCTGGTTTAGTCTTGTAATTAACACACAAATATATGAAGAACTATGTTTCATGAAAAACTACAATTCCATATATTTAAATTCATATATTTAAATATCTCATCCAAGTGGGGAAAAGCCTTATCACTTTTAAGGGATGCATTTATTACACTCTTATCTCTCCCTGCTGGAAGGAATGTCAGAGTAGAAGAAATTAATCAAATACTATTATTTTCCTTATTGACAACAATCAATGCAAAATTAGAGAAATTAAATGCAATTTACCAGTGCTGCACTGCTCAATACTATCACAAAAATCATAAAATATTCAAACCCGCTGTGGTTAACAATTCTGTAGCAGGTTTTCCTGAAGTTCCACCAACTTCTGCCTGGAAACTTAGTGATATCCACTACACAACATGGGAAACATTTACCACAATCTGAAAAGAGAAAGAACAGTATATTGGTTCCATGGAAAATGCTGAGATACGGAATCAAAACAGTATATGACATCTTAAAGAGAGCTTCTATAAACTAGAGAAAGAATGTGTTGTTTTAGCTATGAGGTGATGCTGTGGTTGAAATGATCTAAAGATAAAGAAAAAACTTGTATGCAAAATTAATCTCTTTTAATAGAGCAACTCATACATGGGAAAAAGAGAGTTGCTTTTGTGCCCTTCTTCAGAAAGGCTTGTGGGCACAAGAAAAAAGACTTTACTTCTATCTAAAAAAATGTTTATTTTCTGCATTTCTTCTTTTTGTTTTGAAAAGAGAGAGTACCTTACTAGTGGATTAGTCAATTATTATTTTTACTGATTATTTCACTTTATTCCACTGCAGAGACATTACAACTACACTCCCTATTCACTGCTTTGCACCAGAAACACTCTCCATGAATCTGTAAAGGCAGCAGGATTGAAGCATGAGACTCAATGGAGTCTAAGGAGATGGTCAGGTAATCAAAGGCAGATGTCAGCACTGGGATGAGCAGGAAAACAATTCTGCTAATTTGGACATATTCCAAGTGGATATTATTTAACACTGTTCATTTGGTATTAGCACAATACAGAAAAGATTCCTACTTTCTGCAAAACAGTCCTTAGGCAGGTGTGATTTTTCAGTCTGAAAAAACATCTCCAGATCAACAGCTGCATCCACACTGCTGGCTTCAGAAAAGCTGTGAGCAGCACCATATTTCTGCAGGGGAGAAGGAGAAAGAGGAGAATTTATTTGCTTTTCATTAATAAGGTTAAAAAACCAAAAATAAATGAAATTTATCATCGCCCTGCCCCCCTCCCCAAAAGACTTCTGCAGTCTATAAATTACCTTACTGTTGCTGAACTATCAAATTAAAACTACAAATATTAGGACAGAAAAAGCCAATCCCTACTCTTTGTTTCTATGCTTTTAATTTAATAAATTTCTTGGTTTCTTCTTGTCATCTAAACAGGACATGCAGGAAGAAGAAGACCTTCTTATGCTACAACTTTGGACAAAAGTCTGACTTCTTCAGGCCAATCCAATTCTCTTTTTACTTTCAGATACAAACCATGCCTCAAAAGGCTTGAAGATGGGGAGGCCTAGCAGGATAGAAATGTATGTATGGTCTTGTAGCGAGTTTCTGCTGCTGGGTTTTGGTAGAGGGGATGGGGGGGCTACAGGAGTGGCTTCTGTTGGAAGCTGTCAGAAGCTTCCCTTTTCCTGCGGATACGACGCCAGTCGGCTCCAGTTCAGACTTCCTGCCACTGGCCAAGGCCGAGCCAGTCAGGAGTGACAGTAACGCCTCTGGGATAACACATTTAATAACAGGAGATTGTTGTGCAGGAGAAATTCCAGCCAGGGAATAGCAGAGTGAGAACATGGGAATAACAATGTAGATCCCAAGGGCAGTGCAGAAGGAGGGGCAGGAGGTGTTCCAGGAGCCGGAGCCAAGGCTCTGCAGCCCGTGGTGCAGACCATGGTGGGGCAGCTGTGCCCCTGCAACACATGAGTGACCATCAGGGTGCAGAGACACCCCTGCAGCCCATGGAGGGGCCCACGCTGGAGTAGGTGGATGCAGGAAGGAGGCTGTGACCCCTTGGGAGGCCCGAGGTGGAGCAGGGTCCTGCCAGAGACCTGCAGCCTGTGGAGAGGGAAGCCCACGCTGGAGCAGGTTTCTCCTGGGTGGGACTTATGGCCCCTGTGGGAGACCCACATAGGTACAGCTCATTTGTGAAGGACTGCAGCCCACGGAGGAGTGACCCACGGGACAGCAGTTTGAGAAGAGCTGCTGCCCAAGAGATGGACTCACACTGGAGAGGTCCATCAAGGACTGTCTCCTGTGGGAGGGAGCCCACAGGAGCAGGGGAAGGACTCCAACTCCTCTCCCTGAGCAGTAGCAGAAACAACAACTGACCACAACCCCCATTCCTGTCCCCCTGTACTGCTGAGGGGGAGGAGGGAGAACATGGAGGGAAGGAGAGATGGAGGGAAGGTGCTTTTTAGACTGTTTTATTTCTCGCTCTTTGGTTCTTATCCTGTTAGTAATAAATTTAAGTACTATCCCCACTTTAAGTCTGTTTTGCCAGTGAAGGTAATCAGTAAGTGACCTCTCCCAGTTGTTATCTCAACTCATGAATCCTTAGCTGGTTTTTTTTTTCTTCTCTCTCTTCTGTCCAGTTGAAGAGGGAGAGTGAGAGAACAGCTTTAGTGGGTGCCTGGTATCTGGCCAGGGTCAACCCACTATAGGTCTACACATCTCAAAGAATTGTAATCACTGGTAGGTAACCTACACACTTATAAAACTAAGTACAATAAGGAAAGCAAGTATAAGGAAAAAAGAATAAAGAAATCTATAAGCCATAATGTGTAAGTGCCCTGAATGGCATGGAAAAGGAAGGCATGAGGATAGAGATAAGAATGGGAAGCCAGAAAAAGGGAGAATTTCCTCTGTCTACAGCCATGATGCTCTACACTAATCTAAGGTCCTAGGGAATCTTCATCATATACAAAAATGCAATTATTTAAATTAATGGGCACTTCAATGTTTTCAATATTATTTTTCAATATAAATATATTTCAATAATGTATAACAAAGAAAATTTCTGGCAACTGTGCCTAAAACCAGAAAATATTAATGGGGTTTCACTTTTGGGGGTAGTAATCCAGAAAGATGTTGAACTTCCATTTAATTTGCTGGGTCATCAGAGTCATGATTCTCCACCTTTTTTTGATGTGGAACATTAGAATGAGATGGGTTTCTAAACCAGAAAAACCATGGTTGTTTAGGGAACCATGTCTAGAGAGCACATTTTTGCATCCAGGAATGTCAGCAAACAGAATTATCCATAGAAACAAGTAGCATGTATCAGACATGCTTAAAGTCATTGTGTTTCCTAGTTAATTTCTGTTTACTTATTTTGTACAAAATTATATATTAAATTACACCATTAACCATGGCTATTGATGAGACACAAACCTCCATGCTATTACTGTCTCTAGAGAGATGTGCCACCTCCACAGGCATTATACTTGCTACTCTTCAGAAAATCCCAGCCTGTCCTGTCATTGCTGAATGAGAGAACAGCTGTGAGAATTTAAATCTCTAGCATATTCCACAAGATGATAAAAGTTAGAATTACCTCTTTTTGCTCTTGCTTTTCACGTGTTACTATGAAAACATTTAAAGATTCAGGAGTCCCAGAAAACTGACTGAAGCTGCTTGAACTCTGCCGCTGTTCTCTATGTCGTAATCTGTCTCCCTGCAGAAAATAATGGAAAACAGTTGATTTTCCAGATTTTTCCTTCCTGACAGTCATTCTTAAAAGTCAGAATTCTTTAACAGAATCTAAAACATCCATAAAATTTAGAATCACAGAAGGGTTTGGGTTGGAAGGGACCTTAAAGATCAACTAGTTCCAAACCTCCTGTCATAGGCAGAGAACCTTCCATTAGTGTGTTTGTCTTGTTACAAATAATTAAATGATATCCTTAAAATGCTTGTAATAGAATGGTTTCTTCCTTGATTTCAAATAGTGTGCTCTTGAGTTTTTACTGTGGAAATGTATCATTCCCCAAGAAATACATTTAGCCCAGGGATGGATTCCTGCATCCAATTAACCTTTGCAGCTGGACCCCAACAGCCTCATGCTTCCAGTTACAGGCAGAAGACCTAAGTGATCCCAATCAGTTCTGTCCTTTTCTCTCTACAAATTCCAAGAAAGATCAGGTTCCACTGCAGCAGTTTTTGTCATCAAATGCTTCTGGATAACATATTTGAAATGGTCACAGATGATTCTAAGGTGATCAGCAATTTTTGCTTCTTTGAAAATTTGTCCAAAGATATTCCATTGGCAATGCTTCCTAATATGACCCAAACCACAGCAAATGGCAACTGAGAAGAGACATGGAAGTGTCAGAAGAGGTTGCATTCCAAAATGTGTAAGGCAAAGTAGACAAAAAGAAGGAATGTCTGTCTTCATCAAACTTCATTTATTTGTTGACAGCAATAGATGGAAATAAAACAGCCAAAGCAGAATTATGGCTATCCACGAAGTAAATAGTGAAAAAGTGGATATTCAAAATGTCTTTGGCAAATGAAGACTATTTGGTAGCCCTTGCACTAGAAGATCAAAGAAAGTAAAATGGCAGAAATGACAGAAGGGATAATATTTACTGTTGAGTCTTTGAGATGGCAATTACAGATGTAAGTTACAGTATTTTGTTTTAAATGTGAATAGTTCATACCTGTTTTCTGTGTTCTGTTTCTGTGAATACAATGTAGTCATCATCACTTTTGTCACTGTAACTCTCTGATTTTGCAATGGGAACACAGACACAATTATTATCCTCTTTGTCTTTGCCAGAATTTTCTTCCAAAGTCTTCTTTTTGTCTGTCTTTTTGAGGCTTCCTTTCATTTTTCTGCCACAAGGATCCAGAATTCTGTCTTTCACAGCCTTCAGGCCCTTGAGAATCTGTGCAAGGGCAATCTGACATTTAGTCCCTTCTCCAGGTTCCTCTTGTCCTCCTGAGGCATCAGTATTGAATGAACTCAGCAGCAGGGCAATGAACAAGTTGAGCACCTTGAAATAATTAAAGTAAGTTGGAGAAACCACTGCTAACAGAAAAGTCACTTCAGAAAACCTCAGTCTTGCTTTCATCAACATTGCCATGAAATTATTTACTATTATATTGCAATATTGCTATAGTATAATCTGACCACTTCTGGAAGGAAGGCAGGAGAAAAAGGAAGGAAGTGAGGATTTGGGTATATCAAATATATTTTCACCTGCTCTGATGTCCATAATGTATGAGGAGATAGATATGTTGAAAAAGAGCAAAGATGAGTTTTAATAACACCACCATTCAAAAAGTTCTGGTATAGACCAACAAACCAAGCAGATGAAAAAGATTTTGTCTTCCAGTACATTTACATTCCATCTACTATATGTCATACAAACCAGAAAATCTGGGTATGGTAAACTCTTGATAATACAAGTTGATAAGCATTAAAAGCACTGAACAGTTTGGTTATTGGATCCTATCAACACAAAAGATGAAGACATCAGACAACACATTATCAGAAGCACTGCACTTCTATACTGTGGGTAGAGGGAATAATTTGGCATTGCTTCTACCTCTTGTGTGATAAAGAGAAAATCAGTGGAAAAGAAAAAAAAAAAAAAGAAAATATTGAAGAAAAACATGTCAAGTGACATCCAGAAAAGAGAATAGTGTGAATACTCTTGAAATGATAAAGTTTCCCTCTAAAAAAAATCAGTTGCCAGTGTACCTGGATGCATTCAGTAGGGACTGGGAATCAGCTTAAAACTCACCACCAGGTTTCCTATCACCAGGACTAGCATGAAAATTGTAATACATTTCTCTTTTCCAGCCACTTCCATACATTCCCACATCGTTTCAATCCATTCTCCACATAAGATTCGGAATATAATCAGGACTGAATGACTGAAATCCTTCATATGCCAGCGTAACTCCCCATTGGTGCTTATTTTACGGAATTTTGTTTCATAATCACTGCCCAGAAGCTGCATTCCTAGTACAGCGAAAATAAATACAGTGATAGTCAAAACCAGAGTGAGGTTACTCAGAGCACCACATGAGTTTAGAATTATTTTCATAAGAGTATTTAAGGCTGGCCAGGACTTTGCCAATTTGAAGATCCTGATCTGTAAAATAAAACATAAGAGAAAAAAGGTAAGGTCAAACACAGCCCAGACAGTACAGCCCACATAAAAACCAGACCCTGCATTTATCATGCTGCCTTTACTGCAGTAACATTGTCATTTTTCCCCCAAAGAAAGGTTTTTAATTGTTTTGATGCAAAAGTGCTGTGCTTAAGCTCTAAGAGTTAATGTTATTGAGAGCAAAGAAGTATCAAAGGAAGGTTTCAAATTGTTTAGTTAGATACGAGAGTGTGCCAGTGTAATAATGTTAATAGCAATACAATTAACAGGTATATAGTGAAGTAGGTCGTGAGTACTTGGATGAAGGTTATGAAATTACTGAGTTTTGGTCAAATGCAATAAGACAAATATTTTTTTATACCTCTCATCAAACAGACTTAAAATAGGATCTGAAAAGCCGGATGGGACCTACTCTACGTACCCCCACGAGTAAAAAGGAGGTATTTAGTCAAATTAGCATTCAAGGCTGTGAAAATCTCTCAGTCATGATAAACAAGGGGAAACAGAATTCAACTGCATTTCTAGGTGTGAGGACTGAAATGCTAAGAAGCATTTTGAAGTATTTAGTAAATTTAACATTAAAAATATGCAGTAAGGACATAAATACAAAAGCAATGTCATACACAGACACCTCAGAACGATTCCTCTTTCTCCCTAAAATGGAGGAAAGCACTGAAGAGCCCTGAGAAAAGCTCTGTTATTTTGCAAATCTTAGATCAAAAGGAAAAGCCATGAAGGAACCTTCACTATCTATTCAATGAAACGTTCATGTTGGCTTACTATTTACCAGCAAAAAGAACTGATTTGACAGATTCATCAGTAAAATAATGAGAGAGTATTTCACTGTAATCTTTCACAAATCTATACAATACATGTACTTTTAAAAAATAGCAAACAAATCATTACCGCCCGGAAAGGTGACAGATTGGTTTCAAAGCTCACTAGGCCAATCAAAACAACCAAGCTATCAAAAACATTCCATTTGTTCTGAAAATAGTAGTAAGGATCTAGAGCAATGATTTTCAAGATCATTTCTAGTGTGAAAATCAGAGTGAAGACCTGGAAAGACAAAAAAGAAATTCAGAAAAAAGTCACTCAAGAACTCTGTCTCCTTATGGGACTTCCAGTATAAATACAGGGTTATAACTTCATATTCACCCTAACATAGACCTCACTTACCTGGTCACTTCTAGCAAACATTTTTCTGGTTTGTGGTAACATGCCAGGGTGCTCCATAGCCATTAATAAGGAATTCAAGATAATGCAAGCCATGATAAAGAGTTCAACAAACGGATCCAAAACCACCAATTTCACCTTCTCTTTGACTGCTCTCCAGAATGGACAACAATTCCAAATTAGATACTTTGAAGCAAAACGTTTCCACAATGCAGGACGTTTCACTTTTGACTCTAGCAGAGAAAGAGGGAAGGTGGCATATGAATAATCCTATGTGAAATATCACAGTGTGAAGAAAAAGACAATCAATCAGAGAAAAGATTGGAAAGAAAAATCAATCTCGTGAGCAGAATGGCATCATTGAAAAAAGTTGTTTCACTCCTAATACACAAAATAGGCTACACTAATCAAGGCTATTGCAGGTCACCACCACCAAACCTCATAATGACAGAAACAGGGGATATTCCCCACCTCTTCATATGTTTATTTTTCGTTCCTGTGAGGCTGGGGAGGCCCTAGCACAGGCTCCCCAGAGAACTTGTGGATGCCCCATCCCTGGGAGTGTTCAAGGCCAGGTTGGATGGGACTCTGAGCAACCTGGCATAGTGGAAGGTGTCCCTGCCCATGGTAGGGGGTAAGAACAAGATGATCTTTAAGGTCCTTTGCAACACAAACAGTTCCATGATTCTATGATTACACTATTAAAGGATGATAAAGAATTGCATTGAGGAGAGAAATCACTGTTTCCAGGAGAATGACAACCTGTTTCCTGTGAGTTGAACCTGCCCAGCCACAGGTGTCCATAGCTGAGGACAGGGTTATAAGTGAGGTTGGAGGAGAGCTCAGGAGATCTGTAGTGCAACCCCCTTCTCCAAGCAGGGTCAGCCATCAGGTCAGAGACTGCACAACCTGTTCCTCTGAAAATGGGCAACGTTTCTGCTTACACACACTTGGAAATTCTCTTCTTTCAATCAAGTTGGTCAGGCATGATTTACCCTTGGTAACTGGGAGTTACAGTCACAGTTATATGAGATATGAGAATATTTGTTTTCCTGAAATTTACATTTGCAGCATCATTTCCCCTAGTGGCTTTTAAAATAATGCTGAGTGTTTGAGACAGTTTGATCTCTCAGGTCACATTAGACAAACCCATAGGAAAAATGACTTACCTGAAAAGTCTGTAAGAATAATGGCTGCACTCATTAACCTCTGTCTTCGGAAAGGATCATTAATAGAGTCCACTGACACATCATAAGACAGCAGGATCTTCCTCTTTGGTTAGAAAGAAAACAGAAGGTAACATAGCAAGGGAATATGAAAAACTGGCAATACAAAAATTATGTCCAGTATGAGATAAATATGCCTTTTTAAATAGACATTGAAAGGAAGCTTTACTTTGGTGACAATATATAAAACAAAAAATACAACATTATCAGGTTTTTGCTTTTGAAAGCGAAGAGCGTTTCATCAAAACCAGTAAATTTCTTCATGAAGTTGTTTCCTTCTGAAAATGTTTAATAACAATAATAATGTCATTATAGAAGATGTATAGAAACATTAATGGGGCAAGGGAAAAGAATCCTTCCATCTTTCCAGTAACTGATGAGAAGAACAGACAAAAAGAACACTGGCCATCAGTTTGAATATACTATTGCCTCTTTAAGGATGATAATTATTGATGATTAATAAATAATATACATTTAATAATATGAAAAATAGTCAAGTAGTTAATAAAAACTATTTTTTTTTTCCAGCACTACCAGGCCTATCTAGATTTCTACTAATATTGAACTGCCCAAAATTAGGAAATGCACTACTTTTGTTTTCATTAGAAGCCACAGAATGCTCAGCTCAGTGCTCCTGATGTGAGCTCAAGGACAGACAGGCCAAGACTTGTATCTTATGGGATACACTGAATTATTATCAAATATTCAGATCATGATACATTAAAACCCACATGCTTTCTCAGGATTAAATAGACCATCATAAAACATGGGCTACAAAGAATACGTGAGACTCTGAGGTAGAGAAAGTCAGAAAGAATTCCAGAGAAAGTTAGAAGAGTATTTAAGTAAGGATATATCATACCATTACTTCAAACTTTTTTGATATTATGATTTTTATTAACGTATTCTAGAAAGCTGTTATTCAGGGAATGAAACTGGTATTCTTGGCCTCAGGGGTTTCATAATAATTATTTCTCTTTGTCATTCTGATATTTTAATAAAAAATAATCAAAATGTAGTTGATAGAACTGTCATAGAAGGGACATATCAAATGAATTTGTAATATAGTGCTAAAATGCTCATTTTTCTCTCTGTAGTTTTTATGAGTCTAAAAGGCTCATTTCGACTATTCTAATTATGTCCCAGTTACCAGTGCAACTTGTCCTTTCATTCCTTTCTATTATGTTTGGTGTCTTGTAGGACAGAAAAACATAAAAATGTTTGTGCCAGCCTGACTAAAGTCCTCGGTCTTCCTGTTGAAATTCACAGCTGTTCAGAAGCATTCAGAGTTAGTGTTTTTAGAAAGGACAAGGGTGTTCCCCAACACTGACCTGGTTACTGCTGCTCATCTGTCTTTAGCTGAGGGAAATAACTGGGGATGAGAAACTGGGATTTAAAACAGGGATATGCTCTAGAGGAGTAGTCCATTCAAGTTTTTATAAACTGATTAAGTCCTACCAAAATGTTTCTACCTGATATACTTTTTTCTCTTTGACTTAGCATCTTAAGCCTCTTTTGTGATTAAAGTAGAGAGTACATTGTTTGAAGAGTTCTCAGTTGCAGGAGAGCCACAAGTAGTTGCCACATTTGTTGCAGTTTATATTTATTTGATTAATAAAAGAACTCTATGTCAGAGCATCTCACCCTGTTTGGATTATGCTCTAGGTTTTCCTTTCTATTTTTTTTTCCTTTTTTAATGTGAAATCATTTCAATATGAAATAATATGTACTACTGAAAGCCACTTCCAACTTCTCTTTCAACTCCAAATAGTGCTGTCTCCCTAACATCCCAAAATATAATTTTCAGATTGCTTTAAAAAACAATTTACTCCAATGATTGCAAGAAGGAAAAAAAAAATAAAAGAGAGAGGAAAAAAATGCAAACAAAGAAAGCTTTTCTGCTCAGTGAATTGTCATATCATAGGCAAGTCTAATGAATATTTTCTATTTCGAATACTTACAAGCTTCTTGTGGCAGTGACCAGGCTGTGAATGAAATATTTGCTCCTCTTTCTCCTGATCACCTAAAATTACATTTTGTCTTAAAATAACTGTTTCCTCATTAATCTCATTTCCTTTCAAATTTGTTGAGTCACCAAGTGGCATTTCAGACCCAACCTGCAGGGCCTTACTACTTTCAGCTGCAGCCAACTCCTGTAAAAGAAAAGTCAAAAGGTCTGTCTATTAACACAAGGCAAATGCCAACACATGGACTAGGATAATATTCAATTTAGTTTTTACTCATTAAATTATTATGCTCTCTGAATGCTTTACACTAACAATTCCTAGATTTCCAATATCAAACTGCTATAAAAAGACAGGAATACAAAATGCTATTCATGATATGGAAAGACCAAACAGGATTACTTGTCAGCTGCTGTAATTCAAGTTTGCTCTTGTCACTTTAGATATTGTGTTTTGTCTCTGAATTACAGAATATTACGGTTTATCCTTTTACTTCCCTTTTCTTGTTTTGAAAAGGACCTTGAGTCCAAAGACAACAGAACACTAAGGGCTCAATCTAAATCCTTTTCTTAAATACTAATTCTGTCAAAAGGAAACTAGAAGGAAGAAAAGCCTAAGTAAAGTTTGGCAAGCTGGAATGTCAGGTAGAGAAACATTACAGAGCTGCCAACAGCTCTAGAGGAGGAACTTGGTAAAATGGTGATGCCTTATACCTTAATGAGGAAATTGGATACTTGTTAGAGAATATTCATATGGTCTCTTACAAATCTGACATTTTTGACTGTAAGCAGTAAATCAGAGGTGTCTTTTATAAAAAGTTACAAGATACAATAGGTCTTACCAAAAATTTTCAACCCATCCTGCTGCCTTGGCTTAGAGCTTCACTTCTGGTGGATGAGAAGCTTGAGATGACCCAGCAGCGTGGGCCTGCAGCCCAGAAATAACTGTGTCCTGGGTTGCATCACGAGAAGCATGGGCAGCAGGTCAAGGGACGTGATTCTCCCTCTCTGCTCCCCTCTCATGAGACCCCACCTGCAATGCTGTGTCCAGCTCCAGGCCCCCCCAACATCAGCACGATATGGACCTACCCAAGGGCATGGAGATGCTCCGAGGGCTGGAGCACCTCTGCTCCGGAGACAGGTTGAGAGAGTTGGGGTCGTTCAGCTTGCAGAAGAGAAGGCTCCAGGGAGACCTTAGAGCCCCTTCCAGTGCCTAAAAGGGCTCCAAGAGAGCTGGAGAGGGACTTTTTACAAGGGCAAGTAGTGACATGACAAGGGCTAATGGTTTTAAAGGGAGAGAAGAGAAATTTTGATTAGATGTTATGAATAAATTCTTTCCTGGCAGGGTGGTGAGGCACTGGCATAAGGTGCCCTGAAAAGCTCTGGATGCTCCATCCCTGGAAGTGTTCAAGGCCAAGTTGGATGGGGCTTGGAGCAATCTGGTCTAGTGGAAGGTGTTACAGCTCATCCTGAACTGGAGGATCTTGATGGTCACTTGCGATCCAAACCATTCTGTGATTCCATTACTCAATGATTATCAGAAATAAAAGCAGGAGAACCCTGGTCCCTTACAGACCAAGGCATGAATGATTGGAACAATACTATGCCAAGAAGAAACACTGTGGAAATCTGATGTGTGTCTATTAATTCTCCAAAACAACAGCAAAGAAACTAATGCAGTCTCTGGATGTCAATAAGAAACTTAATATGGAACAAACAGCATTATCCTGGCTAAAGACTATTCCTGCTCTTGTCAACTGATAGACCTCCTGCATGCAGTCACTCAGAAAGAGACCTGACAACCTTCAAAATGCTGAGCACTGTGGCTCCTGGAAGACTTTATAATCAGGCCTGAAATCTATCAGCACTGGAACTTCCAACTTCTGGGAACTGCAGAAATGACAACTTTTCTCATGGATGTAAATGTATTCACTCACATTTCCTTCATGAGACTACACAGTAATAGGAAGAAGGAATACCCAGAGAAAGGAATTTCTGTCCACAGCAATAATGGTAGTGTACAAGAACCATGGAAAACCATGGAGTGCAGCACCTCTGCAATACCATAAAAGGTACAAACTTGCCAGCAAACCATTCCTGTAAAATGTCAGGTCTGCAAATCCTAAAATTCAATGATGGTTTTTTGTATCACAGAAATGTTTATATATTCAAATACATATATACATATATACATACACACACACATGCATTTATAGAGACACAAAGAGAAATGAAGTGTCAGAAAGTATTGCAAGAAGTACATGTTTAATTCAAAACATCATTTCCCTAATTCACATACAGAAGAAAACAGAAAGAACCACTTATTATATGTAATAATTACAAACCTGTTCTTTCTTTATAATTTCTTGGGCATCCTGAAGTAGTTTTTTCTTGGACTCTGTTTCAGCAAGACTGGATCTGTTTTGCTCTTCATACGTCATAGTTACTACAGCCAAGATCAGATTGAAGAGATAAAATGAGCAAAAAAAGATGACTCCCATAAAAAAAAAAAAGGAGGTCACTCCAGATGTACGGATAGTCTGTGAGGAAAAGGTAAAAGTTGTGATATATTCTTAACAAACTAACATTTACAATACAATTTCAAACTAACTTAACACTTTTTTTAAATGGTAGAAGAGGAGATGGCTCAAAATTAAGCTCTGATACATTAAACCCCAAAAACCATGTGAGTTTCAAATGGCAAGAAGAAGATATATCCATTTAAAGAAGTCCTAATTAATAAAGGTTGATGGAAAAAAAAGTTAAAATGGACAAAAAAATACAGAACAAGGCAGAGGATAATTCTTGTCTAGCAAAGGAACTGCATAGGCATAGAGGATCCAGATATTTGTCTACATGCATTTTTACAGCATTTCTGAAAAAAAACCCACCAAAATTCAAAAGTTACATTCAGCTCTCTGAATCAAAACACCAAGCCATGAAATTTTTAGTATCAGTTGTCAAAAATGATCTGAAACTAAAGTGTTGAGCCAAAAGGTTTGGTGAGGAGTCAGGACTCAAAAGGAAGAGGAACAGAGAAGGCAGCAAGTCCTCACACTCCCTGCAGCAGCAGTGAGCTCACTGGCTGGATCTGCTGTATATCCCAATCCTTGGGTGGTTCCATACTCATATTTCACTCTTAACCACTGACCCCAGTGTGTTCTCCTACAGAACTATGGGCATTCCCAGCAGGATTGCTCCCATTTGATGTCCCTTGCAGAAGCTGTTACAACTTAGTCACTTGAACCTACTTCCTTAATATTTACATGGATTTTGAAGGAAATGTGATGTCAGTAAGGTGAAAACCAGTAGAGAATTTTCCAGTGGCTCTGAATTGCATGTGTCAAGTCATTCTATCAGGTAATAAAAGTACCCACCTGTCTGTAGAGGCGCTCCCAGGAATCCTGTGTCATCAGACGGAATACAGAGAGGAAGGCCCAGCCAAAATGATCAAAACTTGTGTAACCAAAGTCAGGATTCTGCCCAATCTCCTGGCAGGTATAGTTTTCTGGGCACTCTTTGCTAGCCACAAAATAAAGATTAAACAATACTTACTTGGAGGTTTAAAGGTACCTGAAAGCACCTCATAGACAACACCAGATTTGTTCAGTTTATCTGAAAGTCCGTTTCATTATTCCCTAATTTCATTCTGCCAGAAGGGCTGATTTATATCAAACCATCCTAGAAAACCATTTGTCTAATCAGAGAAAACTAGACAGAAACCTTAGTTTAGGACTAGGTAAAAAGTCTCCCCAAGGATATGTGCAAACAAATACACAGAGAGGGGAAAAATGGAATTATTTTTACTTTTAAGTAATTCACCAAGATGAAGAGAGGAGAATTTATTAATATCTAACAGGTCTTTACTGATCTCTTCTTCTCATTTATATTATTCTACCTTACCATTACATTCCCAGTGGTTAGCAACAAAGTACATACATAACTGGTTGCATCCTTGTACTTCATTCTTTTTCTGAGGTGAAATATATGCCTTTAATGACACACATGCACCCTATCCTCCTGAAAAATCATCACCATTCCTCTAGACCAGAAATAAAACCACAGGACATCTGGAGGAACAAATTAAGAAAATACTAAAACTGCTTTGTTCACTTACTTGGGATCTGAACTGAACCCACAGAGCAATATGTCAGAAGAGCCATTCATTCTGTGGCAGATATCTAATAAAAAATAAATCAAGGAATCATAAAATCAGAAGTTGTCAGTTTGCACAGCCTTCTGACAGGAAACCATACATTTACTGCACTTGATAACACCCTGATGGATCAAAGCTCTGGGAAGCTGATTCTCAGCAGATCTGTCTCTACGACAGTTTAAAAAAAGTGGTAACTCTTTACTGCACAACTCACAGTGTAAGATCTCAATTCTTTACCAGATTCTCTGGTAAAAATAAGAACCTCTGTGAGAAGTGGGCAAAACCCTTAAATATAGAAAAAGTGATGGAAAAATAACCATTCCCTGTGCAGTACCCCTAAAATTAGGATCCCTGTACCATGCACAGGTAAAAAGGCAAATGCTTATAGAAAACTCAGCCCCATCTGTCCCACAGACTGCTAATCTTTCTCCAAATCCAAGATTCACTAATTTCACATTCACTTGTCCCAGGGACTTCCTATTAAGACTCATGCAAACGGAAGGGTTTTCCTTCATGGGAGAAATACATGCAACTATACTTTAACATACCTCTGAAATCCAAGACATTCATAGGAAGATACACAAATTATGTAAAGAGAGAAAAGAATAACATTTACCTTCATCATTTCGTACATAGATCTTGGGATCCTTACATAATGAGTCATTGTACACAGTATTATTGAGGACACATTTGAATCTTAAATTGCCCATAAAAAGCTGGAGGCCTATTAGGGCAAATATACTCAAGCAAAATACAGTCA